TCTGCTGCCTTTCCTGGGAACTTCTTGATCGTTTTGAGGCTCGCCGTAAAAGCCTTTACCAAAACGTGTGTTTCAGGCAGTTGCCAAAAATGGCTTGTATTAGGCTGTCAAGAAGCCGGGCGGTGACATCACTCAGGTAGAGAGTTTATGGAGCGTTTGGAGTGAGCGTTTTGTGTCGCCGTTTTTACACCGCACACTTTGCCTGAGGCCGGGCACACGGTGCTGACAGGCTTCGCGCCCGCCTCTGCCCGCCGCAGGACCTATGGACTTCGCCACTGCAGTCATTCCTGGAAATACAGCTAAGAATGGACACGATGATTTTCAGGAGCCTTATTTGTAAACAAAGGGTGTAGCAGTGCAGTCAGAAGGGCATCTTGCAGTATTTTTCTAAGTTGTTCGTACTTTTTATTGCCTTCTGCTGAATGGGGCTGTGAAGATGATAACGTAATCCTGCGTTAGGCTAAATCATGCAGCCTGTGGGCGAACAGTGATTCCTGAGAGATGTTGTGGCTGAGTTGTGCGTGGGGGTTTGGGCTCACTTAGACTTTTGTGTCATTGTCTGTACACAGGTGTTTCAGTGGCCTCGTTGATTAAACTTCTGCATCTGACAGAAAAACATTATTTGTCCCTAGGCCCAATAGACATTTCAGCGTGTAATCTTTTATTTTATTCTGCAAATCCAAATGTATAGTTTCTGTCACCTTTAAAAATAATGGTCAAGTCTGTGTTGAGCCGAGAAAGGAGCATAAGGAAACCCAAAATAGTGTAGCTGCAAGTGGTCTGAAATTTGCCTTTTCTTGTTTCAACTTGTGTGTGGCCCCAAGGAAGATATCTTTGGTGAACACATCCCTTATTCTACTTGGATCTTGTTACCTAAGCCAAGGTATAATGTCCTGGGGATACCCTCTTATCTCTTAAATCAGGGACATGTTTCTGTGCATTGGTGCAATGTTTAATTAGAGACTTTGCTACAAGTTCTCCTCTTGCACTGGCTGCCCTTGTCCAATCACTTTTCTTGCTGTAGGACTAATTTAAGTCAGACTTGTGAGTTATTAAGGGGTACTCATCCCAACATCGTTCCAAAGGGTTAATGGAATCGGTCGCTCACCTTTAGCAAAGGAAAGGTGAGCGGTTGCTTCTTTCAAGCAGAGAATGAGTCAAGCAGCAATTTCAGAATTATGGAGTCTTCTAGGCCCAAAGAATATTGCTTTGCATCTGGGATTTGTTGTTTTCATTTTTTTCAAGAGGATTGCTAGCTTTTATTTTCATTTGTCTTGCTAGCTTTATAACTGAGTGTTTTAGTTTCATTTTTTTCCCCCAGTCTGTGTCTTTGCTCAGCCTCACCATGTGTGTTTAAATACTCATTGACTTCTTTTTAATTCTCCTCTGTTTCTCCTCAGGTTGTGCTTCCATCATGCAACCTTCAGCTATTTCTAACTATCATGGTAGTTTCCAGCACCATTCTCTGTTGCCTTGTTTTGGGCACTACCCAAACCATACGTACTCTTTGAGAAACTGATGTAGGGGGGAGGAGATAGTTGCCCACATGCTTACAGTCTCTAGCGAGACTCCTGTTCTTACCTCCTGGGCACAAGGCTTCCCAGTGAGGTGTGACAAGTGATTCTTTGCTTCCCCGTTGCTGTCAGCTTTTCCGTAGCTCTTCTGGTCAATATATTAAGGAGGGGATTTTCTATGATACATTCTTACTGATGTTGTTAAGTAAAATTTTTTTTTTTCAGGAACTTCAACATAGACAGAGGAAATTCGGCTTCCCTTAAAGTATATCTCGTATTTTCTGTAGTTCTTTTATATCAGAAATATATGGTGTTTCAGAAAAACACCGAAAATGCTTTTCCTTTGGAGGGACTGAGCCATGATATGGGGTCTTCTTGAGATTGCTGAGAGCAGCTGACACTGTTTGAGCTCACAGCAAAGGATGAAGCTGAGCTTCAGATAGCAGTAATATTTAGGTAGCAGCAATAATCCATAAAAATAAATGTGTGTTTAACTTTTCCTTGTTGAAATGGGGAGCAGAGGGTATTCTGGTTTTATTTAAAGCATATCCTTCTAGTGCTTCTGACAATGGCTGCAGCTGCCCTGGTTTTGAATGAGCCATACACAGGCTCCTCTGCTTCCAGGCCGTGGAGTGGCTCTGGCTTTCCCTGTGCCCTTCCTGCCTGGAGAGAGGGATGTGGCCTTCTCTGAGCCTGAAGGCCACCAGCAGGAAGGCAGGTGAGTGCTCGGGGGGATATTTTTTGGAGCAACAGGACTGAGGAAGGTGACGGATTGGTAGCTTGTGATGTGAAGTTGCAGGGGTTTATGGAAGCGGGAGTAAGACCTATGAAGATGTAGGGCTGTTGTCTTTCACATCCCTTGATTAATGGAGTTGATTAAACTGGCTTATTGTGCATTTAGGCTTGATTTGGGAAGCTTATAGAAGACTTTTTTTTTCCCCAAACACACTCTAAGCTTAGTGTCCTAGCTATTTTTTCTTCGGCTGGGTATCCTCACTGTTTTAAAAATCCATGATGTAATAACTTACTAGTTTACATTTTCGTAATGTGCCAGTGTAGTGTGCTGCTCTGGAGGAGAGAGAAGAGCAGGAAAGGAAAAAAGATTATGCAGTTATTGTGTGCTTTTGGTTTTTTATTCTCCAAAAAGCCACAGAAGTAAAAAATGTGCTAGTAAAGTGGGTTTAAATTCAGATAATTTCCATCTGTCCTCCCACACAAACATTAGAAACCTTGCTTTTGCTGCATGAATGTTTATATTTAAAAGCCAGCATCAAAGTTTCTAAGGCATCAAAGTTCCTGAGGAGATGATTTAGCACATTTCCCTGATTGTTGTGATTGTGTCTTTCCTCCAACAGTTACTTTGCTCCCGTTTCTTTTAGTGTTCCCCAAAATAGTTATTCTGGGGCAAACACTAATTCTTTTCCTAACTAGTGCACAGTAGTGAGTCTCTTGCTCCCACCTATTCTTAGCTGCATCTGTCAGGAAGATTGGGTGTGTGTCCCTTTTGAAAGGTATCTGTAAGCCAAAATTAAATGCCACTACCACTCACTTGGAATGAAATGTGGTTTAACACCGCATACAACATCTTTGTTGATTTTTAGGGGAAGTGCTGCCAATGTGACTAGGGTGTGGAGCTGAGTAGTGCTTGGAATCCTGGTCTGCAAAGGTGAGGAGGACCCTTCAGCCCAACTGGCCTGGCAATTAAGTGATGTGATCACAGAGTCTTTCACTTCTTTCTTGGCCATACTAAAGTGTACAGTGATGTGACCAGTAATCGGTTCTTTTTTTCAGAAAAAAATTTTTAAAATCTCCCCATTTGGTGGGACCTGTGACAGCATATGCATGCATGTTATTTGCATATGTTAAAACAGGAATGTGGCTTTGCTGCCTGCGCCATCAGAGCTTGAGGCTCTGGCTGGCGGCATTAACTGTGCTGGATCATAGAATCACAGAATGTCAGGGGTTGGAAGGCACCTGGAAAGATCATCTAGTCCAACTCTCCTGCCAGAGCAGGATCCCCTAGGGCAGCCACACAGGAACGTATCCAGTTGGGCTTTGAAAGTTTCCAGAGAAGGAGACTCCACAACCTCTGTGGGCAGCCTGTGCCAGTGCTCTGTCACCCTCACAGTAAGGAAGTTTCTCCTCATGGTGGAGCTTCCTATGTTCTATCTTATGCCCAGTATTCCTTGTCATGGATGGCATGAGGCTCTTGAGATTGCCAAGGGAGCCAGAGTTTAAGCTCTGGAACTTGGGGATCATAGCTGGTGTAAAACGTCAGCCTGTGCAGCATGACTGATGGAAAATGGCTGATAATCCTCTACTGAGCTGTTTTTTAAAAAAAAAAAAAAAGAAAAGAAAAAAAGCTGTGTCAGGTCCCTGAGACCTACAGAGAAACCATTCATGTTTAAAGCACTTTTTCCTGCCATACAGTTAAACTAACACAGCACTTAAATGCCTTACAATGATGAAAGTCTGCTGTGACGCTGCTGAGTTTTGATTTTGAGGGAAAGGGAAATAATTTGGCAAATAGAGAAATATTTTATAACTGCAGCAAATACCTAATGTGGAGCACGTTTATGGTGTCACGAATTCTTTACTGAAGACATGCTCTGCCAGGAAAGCTTTATTCCTATAAAGTTTGCTGGGAATTTTTTAGTATCATGGGTTGAGAATAAATAAAAGAATATCTTTACATAAACTGATCCTAAGTACATGGAAATTATCATGATAGTAAAACTTTAATTTCAGCTGTGCTGGGCGATACGTTGAGAAATGTTAGGTGTGCATATGATGACAATCTGAAGTTTATTTCTATTTGCCTTACTGAAGTATCCTAGACTGCTGGTTAGAAAACTCTGGTGGTCTTTCCTTTTTGTTAATCTTGTTGCTGTTGACTGTATCTCATATTGCTGAAAAGAAAGAAGAGTTCAGTCAAGTTTACCTTGGTGTTCCAACATGATTTCCTAGGTCTCTTTTCTGACCATAATGTAACAATAGTACAAATAATACCTGGTATTTTATTCAGAACTTTGACATAATAGATCTAAAGCAAGCTGATATTTTTCCTTTGTTCTTTTAAGTTTAGCTGTCTCTGCTACGCATATATTCTATGCAGTGTAATAATTATTTCCAAAAGCTAATTGTAATCGTTATTTCTATCCTCTTTCTACACACCTGAGACATTTGGCATTTGGAACAGGCCAAAGGAAGTGAAAGGGATTGCGAGCATGACCAAAACAGCTCTGAGAAACCTAGGAATTGCATCCGGGCTTCCAGAGTTTTTGGTCTAGGTCTCTGCTATATAAAAGTACTTTTGCTGATGTTTCTGTGAATGTTAAAGCAGGAAGATTTCTTTCGCTCTATGTTAAATTTTGTCATTGCCTCTGCGTTGACTTGTAACAGCACTTACGGCTCACACGTACTGATTATATCTTTACCTCCTTTGTAAGAAAGGGGTACCCAGAAGTACAGAGTGAAAAGCATTCAGTGCAGTTACTGTCTTGACTTGTTATGAACTCACCATGCTTATTTCTTGTACTTAATTTCCATGTAGTCTTTATTTAAATACTATATCTTCAGAGCCTTTTGACATCATCCTTATAATGTACTTTAACACTTTATGTTGTCTGTCTCTTCAGGGATGATTCTGTCCCAGAGGATAATATTTGGAGGGGTATCCTCTCTGTGATTTTCTTCTTTTTAATCATCAGTGTTCTAGCTTTTCCTAATGGTGAGTAAGGTTTATACTTCACTTTTTATAACTTGTGAATTTCTCTTTATTGTCACTATATTTATTTTGATTTTTGTTTAAGTACCAACTTTTAAATTTTTTTTTCTCTTTTGAATTCCTTTAAGTTAAGGAACATCTTAAAAATGGGTTGCAATCATACTCGCAGAGATAACAGTAAAATGCATGTTATTTATAGCTTGTCTGTATCTTAACAAGGAAGTCAGGTTCTCAAAATCGGTGTCTCTATTTGCAGATGTGCAGTTGCAGGTCAAATTGCTAAGTAACGATGCTGCCAGGTCCTTAAACATTATTCAAGTCTGCCTCAGACTTCTGTGTTTTAACAGAAGTGTCAGTCTACGATTTCTCAGAGATAGAACAGCTCACATAAATTACCTTACCAAAAGATGATGATAGTTAGAACGGTTGAATTCACATTACAGTGTAAAACCACAGTTGCTCAGTCAAAATTTAAGTTGGACAAAATTTTTGCTAATTGTATGAGGAACAGAAAATGCAAATTGTTGAAAATGCTTGCGTAGCACTTTATTATGTGGAGGAACTGCTGCCTTCTCAGCGTTTTAAATACTATTTATTTATTTATTTATATAAGATTTTTACTTGTTGGCAAGAGCATAGTTCTTGACTCAAGTTTAAACTGTCTCAGGATTGGCAGTGGTCAGGAAAAAACTGTTTGTGCTTTGGACATATTTGTAGTTTGGAGTTAGGATGTATTTTTCTCATGTTAAAAATCATTAATCCATACTTTCCACAAATCACTCCCTGAAAAACTGAATGCCAGAGGAATGAGCTTTATGCATACAGTGGTAAAAGAACAATCTGCAGTGTGTGCTGAAAATATTTGTTCAGCCACTTCTTGCTACCTCTGAAGATATGACTTATATTTACAGTCTTTCTAGTTTCACTAGACTTACCTTCTCTGCTTTCACATTGAGAGATTTTCATAAAGTCAGTTTAATCACTGTCTCCGAAGTAAGTAATTTCACACTGGTAAGGGACATAGGTATCTTGCTTTTTTTTGAATACATGATACTCGGATGTAAAATTTTGTCTACACCCTACTAATTGACGGTTTCATTTTTCTAAAATCTGCTGTGACCATTTTTTTTGTTTTTAGCATAGAGCCCCAGCTTTTAGGTATATTATGTAGTTTGATGGAGAACTGATCCGTGCTCATGCCAAATCCTCATAGGAGATGCACTTGGGAATAGATTATGTGGTTCTTATTGACTATTTTCTAATAGACTTTTTGTTTACTGTCCGCAGGACCCTTTACACGTCCCCACCCTGCAATATGGAGAATGGTTTTTGGTAAGTTTAAGTTGTGTTTCTCATCTTTTTGTGCTTCTGTGGGACCTACTGTTTTAGCTTTCAGATGAATGGAATTGTCATGGAACGTAATTGTGCACCAAATTTGTGTGAATGTCGCTTCCCTCCTGCTTCTGAGTAGCTGCTTATAATCTGTTCTTAATTATGTTTGGGAATGTTGTGCTAGTTACTCTGTGTCAGGAGGATGTAAATTAAATCACCAGAAAGGGATCATTCATTCTAATACTCTCTTTTAATCCTGTTTTGTGTTTGTGTTTCCTAATCTCCTTCCCCCACACCCTTCCTACTGCTGTCTCTTCTGACCCCAGAAAGATCTGAGATTTTTATAGCTACTGCATATGCTATCTGACTTCTAACTAAATCCAGTTTAGTAGGGTGCTTCTTTTCATTATTGGCAAAATGTGCTGATATGTTTATTAAATTGTACTGTTGTATAGTTTAACATACATTATTAATATTCTTAACATGTATGTATTCACCTTATTAACTTAGAATATCAGCAAAAATACATGCAAATATTAGTTGCATCCATAGTTTAGAAAATAATTCTATTACTACAGAACTTAGTGAGTGAAACCCTGTTCCTTAAACATGTGAATTATATGGCAAGAATATAAGGAATTTTATTTTTAAATAACTCAGGATTCACAGAGCATATCCTAGACTTCAAGCACATTTGCAGAGAATTGGGCACATTTGACTTAAAAACTGATCTGCTTTTTTAGGGGACTGAATGTTTCTCTCTCCTGCTGCCTTATACAGCTAAAAATAAGTAGCCTCCCAAAGCAGCTGATTACTCATCCGTTGAAACTGAGAGGATACTGCTGGTTAGACAGTAGTTGTTAAAGGATCCTCCTCCTTGTGAAGTTTGGGAAACACTGCTCATTTGAAGTTTCAGCAAATGTAAATTAAAAGGACATTCTCAGTGTTGAAACTGTCAGAGCTTGACCCCCTGTACGTACTGGGGAAGGCTGCACACAAAATCAAAGAGCAACATTTTTCCCTGTGTAATTCTGTTTGCTCTGTTTGGCCTATTTAGCCACACTTGAGGTCTCAGACCTGTTCAGTAGAAGAAAGGCAGGAGTAGTGTGTCCTTGATATTTCAGGATGCACCCTCGCCTGCAGACTGTACTTTTTGCAGTAATTTGTCATCTATTTACCTCATGTGTTTTTAGGATGTACTGCAGAGGACAGTATACATCCTTCCTGTTCGTGTGTGTGTACTTGAAAGGAAGTTTTCTCTGACATATGCTGGGGTTTAATAATGTGTGAGTTCTGTTTATAGTTTAAAATATTTTTTTTTTAATTACTATAGTTTATTTTGGATGTATATTCACATTAATCTTTCTGCTTTCCATGACATTGCTGCAGGAGACAAGTAAGTTTGAGTCCTAGACTACAGAAATTGTGTGTTTATCTGCTTCTTCCAAATGTGGCCTTAGATATCTGTTAACTTGTGAATGATGGAGAGATATGCTCCCAACAGCAGCTTCACCTACTCACTTATCTATACCTAGGACTCAACTTCTTACAAGTGTTTCTATAAAAAATCCAATAAATTCGTATTTAGACATTAGGAGGAGAGAGGTGGTAGTCCCAAATAGCATAGTGTTTCTTAATTAATAATAGTGTGAAAACAAATTATAGTAATCTTTAAAAGCCTCAAACAGCAAATTTTCCATCTCACAAAAGTAACTCAAGCATGCATTAGCTTATATTTTTAACCAGTTTTTATTGCCGGTGTAGCTCAGAATTGCCAGGTGAAACCTATGTTGAAATCTGCGTGGAGGTTTGGGGACCTACATTAGTGACACCAAGAATACATGAAGAGAAGGGACAGAGCTAATCCAATCCTGGGGTCCTAATGTATCTCTTACTAAAGAGCTTCCTGATCACAGCCTTGTACTACTCCTTTCTAAGCTGATTAGACTGATTCTGTTTTGACTGGCGTCATGCAGTTAAGCAGATATTATATCACTTGCAACAGGAGGTGATATGAAGTGCTGAGTGCCCAGAGATTACTATCTGACTTTTGTCTCTGAAGCTTGTGTCTCATGAAGCTTTTCATGTAGCCGCTGTGTGTAGAAAACTCGGTTCTGCAAACTAGGCACTTATAGAGCAACAGCTTGAAAACTACTTTTTGGACACTTCGTGTCCCAAGGAGTTTTGTAAGTGAACATGATTGTAAAGCGGAGGGTTTTGGGGTTTGTTTTTTCTTTTTGCAGGCCTCAGTGTGCTTTATTTTCTATTCCTGGTGTTCGTGCTCTTCCTTAACTTTGAGCAGGTGAAAGCAGTGATGTACTGGCTGGATCCTAACCTTCGATATGCCACAAGGGAAGCAGATATTATGGTATGTATCTGTGGTACCTTATTGGACATTTTGGCTACTTTAGATGTATTTTACATGGGTGGAAAAGATAAATCTGAAGTTACTGGCATGGAGCAGTGCAAGCGTGTGCCTATACTTTACAGAGTCAACAAGCCTTTGTGTCAATTTTGTGTTACTTCTGTTGTTGTGAGAAGGTGTCATGCCCATATTCTTTCTAATGCAGATGTTCAAACGGGTGTGCAGTCAGGAGGGTGAGATGTGTTTGCAGTGGGATGGCTTTGAATTCCGTTTGTGTGAGCTATATGAGCTTGGTTACTGAAAACAGGCTTAGCAAGGTAGTATTTAAACGAGGCCAATATGGTGTGTGTCTCCCAGATCAGGTGGGTTTTTTTCAATTCCAGAGTGCTACAATCAAAGAACTTTGGTCCTGCCTTATGACTCTGATCTTAGTATATGCCTGGGATGCCTCTGAATATGTGGAAATCCAGATACTGCAAATGCAGGGCTCTGCTGCCTTCCGATCACCCAGCTTAAGCACTGGTGCTGTTGCCGTTGGGAAATTACTTCCATAGACCATGATGTGGAGTGGTGTGGAAAGGCAGGCTTATTCTTCTGCCTCTTGAGCAGGATGCAAACAGTTTTCAATACAAAGAACATTCTCCTTCAGGTGAGGGCAATTGCCTGGGGAGCTGAGCTAGTAAAAGGTGGCCTGGAAGAACTGTGAAAAGTATACTGGGAGGCAGGCAGAAGGGTGTGAGCAGTGAAGCACCAAGCAGAAGGGGGTTACTGCACGGAGAGGCAAGAGTTGCCAGTCTTGTCCTCTTCACATCAAGTTACTGCCCACCTCCTGACCGACATTCCTCCTTGCCCTTGGGTTTGGACATGTGTGCACCATAGCCACCTGTTGTGTAGCAGGCCCTGTTATCAGACTCATGCCTCAAGAGTAGGGAAATACTTTATCTTTGGCAAATAGCAATTTACTATGTATGCAAGCTACTGTACAGCACCTAATCAATGCTGGCTGCAAACTCCTGCCCCGTAGCATGTAAGAGGCAACAGGGATCTTTACGGTGCAGGAATTTTACATTAGTTGATTGATGGTGCATACAGCCTCCTTACCTGGAAAACTCTGGATGCTTCTGGTGTTGCACCTCAACTGATCAGCAGTAGGTGCTGTACAACTCCAGCATCCAGAGCAGGGCTGTGGCAGCCTGTTCTGCAGGAGGCGTGTGGTGGTGGCAGTGATGAGGCGTGGGCAGCCTGCTGTTAGGGTGGTGGGAGGACACACTGCGAAATGGAGCGCTGTGAATGGGGGTTAGTGACGTTGCTGAGCAACAAAAGTGAGCTGAGACGAGGAGTCTGTTGGTAAGTCAGATTCACCTGGCTTTCCTGTCATTTAGGTTAGAAATAAATAGATTAAAGTTAAGGCAGGACTGGTATTACTACTGGCACAGATCCACAACACAACAGATTCCCTGGCTGTAGCTGTCAGTGAAAACTTGCTCTGTACTACTTTTAATCCTGATATTGACACTTAAAGTTGGAGAAAATATTTGAAGTGCAACTATAATGAAGGCTGCAGCTTAGTCTCTTGCACAGGGCTGGCAAAGTTGCTAGTGTATAAAGGAACGTTTATCATGTTGTATGACTGGCAGAGCTGCTGCTGGAAAGATGAGATAGAAGGGAAAAAGCCCCAGGAAAAATAAAAGGCAAAAAAAAAAAAAGGCAGAAGCCCTGAAAATGAGCTTACTTCTGGAGTAACCTCATTGTGTTTGCTCATCATAGAATACCAGTTATCGTGGTGTAGGCAGGAGCCTGCACTTCCCACAGTGCACTCCCTGCTGCTTATGCTGGCAAACGAGCCAGTTTCAGATTTCTTTGGGTACATGCACTAAAGCTGCAGCTTTGCCATCGTTAGGGCAGGTGCTGCACCTGTCTCTGAGTGACCAGTGGCGCTGGCACGTGCGGGACGCAATACTGAGCTTTTGCTTCAGGGAGCACCAGCAGTAAAGGTTACTGACAGTTTCATAGTGGCACTTAACGGCCTGCTGCTAGAAGAATTTGTGTGAAATTGTGCACTCTTTATGGAGACCAAGATATAAATCTTTCCCTGCCATGCCCTTTTCAACTTCCTCATAGTTCATCTGTGCAGAATTAGCAATAGCTCTGGCCTGAAAGATAATCCTCTCTTAATTGAACAGTAATGAGCAGTGCTGTGTTATCACCTGCAGGTGGCAATGTATATTTTAGAGGGTTGGAAGAGCAGAGATTTTTATTTTTTTTTATTTTTTAAATATGTTTTTTTCCAGTTGGGAATAGTTCAGTTTGTGCCCAGTGACAAGACAGAACCCCACAGATGTAGCCTTCTGATAGCAGACAATTTTCTTTTTTTTTTTTTTTTGGCAGTGATTTTTAGTACTTGCTGTACAACATGACGGGAGAACACATTTCCTTTTTTATTCATGACTAGAATATTAATTAATATTCTTAAGGAATCTGCCACTTATCTGTGACAAAATAGCTGCAAGTTCCCTTTGATGATTTTTTTTTTTTTAATTCAGCCCTGTGGCCATACTTTCTCAGTATGGATATGTTCTGGGAAATTGCTTTTGTGAGGAAAATAAGACATAAAGGATACTCCCAATGAACACTGAGATGAGTAACATAACATCACAGACTGATGAGGATTAACCACTGATGAACCACATCTGAACACCAGACACCATGAAATAGGGAAGGGTGGTTATTTCAAGTCAAGACCCCAAAGAAAAGCAAATTACTATTTTCTGGAGTATTGTTTGCTGGTTTTATTATTATTGATTTTACTGCCACTGCTGTTCCCTTGTCATATAAGAACTACCTGCTCCCTCAGACAACATGATCTATTCAGTCTCCCTTTAAATTTGAGCTATACTGTGATGATACTGGAACTTCTTCTGTGGAGTTTAGAAGGACAAGAAAGTAGAATGATGCTTATTTTAATATCCTTATAATTTCAGGCTTTTTTCACCAGATAGAAATTTCATTGTTCTGGTGTTTCTGAAGTTGAGTGTTGTGTTCATGGTTGGTTGTTTTTTTGTCGCTAACAGGAATATGCTGTGAACTGTCATGTTATTACTTGGGAGAGAATCCTCAGCCACTTTGATATATTTGCTTTTGGGCATTTCTGGGGCTGGGCTATGAAGGCTTTGCTGATCCGCAGCTATGGGCTGTGCTGGACTATTAGCATCACCTGGGAGCTCACCGAGGTAGGCCACTCATTGATCTTACTTATGAGCAAATGCGAGAGACTTGAATTGTGCTTGGGGGGAAGTGTGAATGTTACTAGAAGGATGACTCACTAGGTATCGGTATAGATTTGCATTATAAGCCTTATAAAACAGATGCTTAGCAACTGGTGCAGTTGCATTGATGGACAACAGCAAGATGGGGTTTAGGTAAGTGACTTACTACTGCTTGAATAGGAGGGAAATCTAGGCTGGCCTGGTGATGCTGTTATGGGAGCCAGCACTCATGCTACTTCAGATGTTGACTAATATCCCCTGATTTAGAGCAGTTGATCTCCTTTTTCCTTTCTCCTTTATCAGTTGATCTCCTTTTTCACCTTTCTCCTTTATCTGTGCTCTGCTGTCATGATCCCCTTACCTCAAGTACAACAGTATTATGCATTATCATAGAATCATTTCAGTTGGTAAAGACTTTTAAGATCATTGAATCCCAAACATTAACCTAACACTAACAAGTGCACCACTAAACCATGTCCCCAAGCACCTCATCTGCACATCTTTTAAATACCTCCAGAGTTGGTGACTCCGCTACTTCCCTGGACAGCCTGTTCCAGTGCCTGACAACCCTTTCAGTGAAAAAGTTTTTCCTAATATCCAATCTAAACCTCCCTGGGTACAACTTGAGACTATTTCCTTTTGTCCCATCACTTGTTATTTAGGAGACTGAACCTCACCTCGCTACATCCTCCTTTCAGATAGTTGTAGAGAGCGATAAGGTCTCCCCTCAGCCTCCTTTTCTCCAGGCTAAACAACCTCAGTTCCTTCAGCAGCTCCTCAAGAGACTTGTGCTCTAGACCCTTCACCAGCTTTATTGCCCATCTCTGAACACACTCCAGCACTTCAATGTCTTTCTTGCAGCAAGGGGCCCAAAACTGAACAGAGGTGTGGCTTCACCAGTGCCAAGTATGGGGGCACAGTTACTTCCCTGGTGCTGCTGGCCACGCTATTTCTGGTACAAGCCAGGCTGCTGTTGGCCTTCTTGGCCACCTGGGCACGCTGCTGGCTCGTGTGTGTAGTTGTGCACACTGTACAGTGAAATGGAGTTGAGGGATCCATGAGGAAGGTGTGAGGACCTATCAGAAGTCCATTTGGAGTGGCAAGACACTATTTGATGTGTTGCTTTCTGTTGTGAGGCCTGAGTGCGTAACTCTTTTTTCATTAAAATTTATCCCCCAAGCCTAGTTTTTTTGTGTTCACTGGCATAAAGCGATTTCTACTAGACCTGGATTTAAGCTAGTTCACATGCAGTGTCATCCCCTGCACCATGGAGGACCACTGTCTTATTTTTGTTATCTGGCTTTACCACAGTTCCCCAAGCACATGGTGAAGTCTTTTGACTGTTGGCACTTTCAAATCCTATTTTGGATAAAAAAAGAACCCCAAACAAAGAGACGCTTGACTTGATTCATTTGATTGACTGTTGCTTGGACTGCTGGTACTTAATGTTACATCTCTTTTAAGAATGCAAGCAGATTAATTGCTGCTCTGAATCTTTTCATTTTTGTGTTAGCTAGAGCTTGATTAGTAGACTATGTGTCACCTAAACCCCAAGGATGTGTTTCTGTAAAAATATATAATTTCATTATATTTTTAATTGGACAATTCAGATAAAAAATACTAATTTTTGATCAGCTTTTGGGCCATACTTAAAATACTAAGTGTGGATGTAAACACCTGAGTTTAGTCTTTAAAAGCATAATTTTTCTTTAGAGCTTGCTGTCTTGAGAATGCTTGACCCATCTGACAACATAGATAAGGGTTTAGTTGTCTAAAATTAAACTTTTGGGTTTGAAAATACTGGTGCCATGACTTCATTCTCAAAACAAATTTTTCCTTCTCTGTCATTGAAGGATACCCTTTTTTCTAAGCTATTTTGAAACTGCTTAAGAGTGGGATTTCACAGGTACCTGTCCACAAAAAAAAACTTTGCTAGTTTTTGCACCATTTTTTCCCCTTCTGGAAAAGAATAAATTTGGATTCATTTCACATGTGCTCTTATCATTCAGTTGATCATCATATGACCATCATCTTCAATTTGATACCACATGGGATGTCTAGTATTCCCTATTGTTGAAAGGCAGATTATTGGAACAGACAATGTGTTGGGTAAGGTTCAACATATAGAGAGGTTATCACGGCCCAAGTGGATTTTTAATGAATTAGTTAATTCAGGAGAGTCATAAGAAACCTACAGAAGTTGTGAGGGCAGTAGCTGTGCATCTCTGATTAGCATTAATGGCTTTCAGCTGGCTCCCTGTTCTGAAATGGGACACTTGGCTCGTGCCAAAATTGGGATGCTTGCAGACCTTCATCTCTCGTTTGAGAAAACAGCTAGCACCTCAGAGAGTCTGGCGAACACCTGGGGTCTGGTTTTTGCTGCTCTGTTATCTGTAACTTCTGGTATCTTTGGCTGGATTATTGCAGTCTGAAATTTGTAGCCTGGTGTCCCTTTTGCGTTAATTTAAAACATGAAAGGGAAATTCCAGCAGGATAAATAGCAATGTGTATAGCTTGGATCCTGAAGAGAAATTCAAATTTCCTTTTCTGAACGTTGAAATTCCCATAGCCTTTTCAGAGAAAAACAAGTTGCTTTGATAGATTTTTTGCAAGAGGTTTCAGAGGAAATGTCATTGTGGATTTCAGTCACTGTAGTTTATTGTAAATGGACTAGTATTGATTCTTACTGTATACAGAAAACATTCTTGTTCCTTTCCTCACATCTGATTTTTTCAGTATTTTATTTATGCATCCCTTAAAAAAAGATATTTTAGTAGAAAACTCATAGCAATAATCTTCCACAGACTCAGTGTATGCACATTAACTGATATAAATGGTGGTGTGTTTGTAGAGGCAAAAATATTCTTTAGTTTGCTGTTTGTTTTATTAAGCATCTCCTTGAGTATTCCAAAGGGACTGCTTTAACACATGGCTGTCTTGATTTTCAGTCTACAGCTTTTTCAGTCTATTTTTTTTGTTTGCTGGCATTTTTCTTATGGAATAGAGAATTATTTTCTTGTAGAAGAGAATGAGAGGTGCTGAAGCAATTTCTAGCTCTCTGTAAGTTATGTTGATACCTTGCCTTAAAATACAAAATACTGGCCAGTTTTCTCCTTCACTTTGTCAAAAGTGTGAAGGCACCAAATGTTTCTGTAAATACATTTAACTCCTAATGCCTCTTAGTGGGATTTAGTTGAGTATTCAGAACAGATTGCTTCAGAGATAAATGATTTGTGCACTTTCTGGGGGAAATCTTTAAGGGACTGAGTATATCTTGGTATATCCAGATGGTGTCAGCTTTTCAGTCTGATGTTCATTTGTTTCTGGCCTATTTTTCAATATCTTCACTGTAGAAGTACCTTCATCGTTAGTGCTTAGGAGAGACAAAGCAGGAAGGGCAAGTGGAATATCATCCTGGATGAAGTGTGGCGGCAAAGTTTGTAGTGTCTGAAATATTGGTGAACTCTTAATCATTTTACAGTCAGTAGATTTCCTAAAAATAGTAAATGAAGGAAAGAGTTTTGAAATAGAACAAGTCTTAAGTCCTGAACAGTTGTAGTACTTGGTACTGATAGTTGTTACAAATACATCCATTCTACTTATTAAATCTTGTTGCTGGTTTAGAGAACATTCTTCTTAAAACTATTTAGCACAAATAAACTAGATATTATCTTCATTTTTTTAAAAGCACAAAGCATTTTTTTTTTCCTCCAAGAAATGCAGTAGTTTTGCTTGTTTGATGCACTTCCGTGAATGTTCTGTGTATCATCGTGGAGACACCAAGAGCTGTGTGATATCTTTATGTACAGCATAGCCCCAACAGGGAGTGGTGAGAAGGAAACCTCTGCTGTCTTCTATGTGTGGTTCTTCTACCCAGGTCCTTCTGAAGTTGGTGGAAGGATGCCCATCAAATGTCAGTGATTTTGGCTCATGTCCTTGAAGCATGGTGTATACTGAAAAGCTTATTTTTGAATGTGTACTTAAAAAGTGAATTTGTATTAATTTTGTGCTGTTCCTCACCCAGAATCTTTTTGCTGTATTCTGTAGCTCTTCTTCATGCACCTTCTGCCTAATTTTGCTGAATGCTGGTGGGATCAAGTCATTTTGGACATCCTGCTTTGTAACGGGGGTGGCATCTGGTTGGGCATGGTAGTTTGTCGTTTCTTGGAGATGAGGACCTATCACTGGGCAAGCTTCAAGTAGGTCTAAATTAAAGCTTGATAAACATTATGTTTGATGATGTAATATTAAATTAATTTCCTTGGGAAATAGACCTTCTTTGCATATGTAAAATGCATGTGGTATAGAAATAGCATGCAATGTGCATGTGCTAACAATGCTGTAAATTTGTGTTGAACGTTAAAAATCCATCTCATAGTAATGCTGCAGCACAGCAAGTATTTGTAAATATTATTATGTATATATAATTTTCTTTTGCAACCTAAGTTACAAGCACTGATACCAAGTGAAAATACAAAGTAGTAAAGCTGTTTGCTTTTTCAGCTTATCTTCTACAAGCAAAACTCTGAAGAAGGCAGCGAACAAAACAAATTGTAATTGTCTCATTATGCAATGGTTTTAAACTAGATTTAGGCTCACCTTGATGAGGCATTAGCATGGCAACTGTTGGCAGTGGTTGTGATTGCAGAAGAGGAATCAGACTGATCGTACTCATTGTGAATTGCCTTCCTCCATTGCGGACCCTCTAGAGTAAATGGAGTAATAGCAAAATAAAGTAGCATTTTTTGTGTAAAAGGGCAACAGCTTGTGGCCTTGTAAGTGTCAGTTCTAGCTGGCCAGGTGAGGTTTCTTCCATAGCTTTTTGCCTCTCTTCTGCCTTCTTACCTGCCAGTTGGTGGCAAGCACAGTTATCTGCATGTTACTGATGTTATAGACAAAGCAGGATCAAGTGCAATGAATTCCTGAAGGTTGTTGCCTTGAGAGATGGAAAAAGAGCTCGTATTGTGATTTCCAAAGCTGTCC